TATTATTAGAAAAAAACTACATAAAACATCATGTTTGGTAGGAGGCCTTTTAAGACATTCATTATGTATAGCATAAAACTATGATATTAATTTTATTATAGGAGTGAATACATAAATTCAGACGCACTGAAACATATCAATTTGTCATCAGTAGAGGTCTGTGGTGTGACTGTATATCAAATAATTATCTTTAGTAAATATCTCGACTTACTAGTGCCATCACATACCTCTATACATTTCAATTTTAAGGTGGGCCAGTACGACTGTTGATTACGTATCTAAAGTTAATGTTTACAGACACTTGTCATTTTCGAACGAGACAAGACAATTTGAAAATTAGCTGAAAGGAATTTTGAATAGTCATTATCAGATTGTAGCTCAATGTGGTTTGTCCTGTATTATTTTGCTCGACTTAACAGACAAAATCATGAGGACGTTATGAAAATAAGCTTATATACAATTTGTGTAGGTTTTTATCAGTTACTTCAATCTGTGTGTATAGCTTATTACTGGACTCTCCCTGGGGAAGTTGAACCCTGACCTCACCCCAGAAATTATGTGATTAACCCTAATTCAGGTATTTAGTATATGTCCTGAAGCCCACAGGTAAAATTGTCCACAGATATGACTCATTTCACTAATTTTGAATCAATGATAAAAACGAAATCCGGACTGTCATGTTGGATGAGAATAATGTACCTGAGGTCTATAAATTTAACGTTGATGGCAGGGGGTTCCTGATACTGTCATTTCACATTGTACACCGTGTTTGATCCCAGATGCTATCTTGTAATTTTGAGTTTAGCTAATAGACCTTTTTATTCAAATACAAAAATATGACTATGTACAGACCATATGTCCCAGGGCGATTCCTAACTACATCAAAACAACATTTAAACTGTCCAGTTAATGTAGCCTCATATCCACACTCCATGTTCACCCACGTTAACATGCCATAAAGTGCTTGTAGTTCAGACATACATGCCTTTTTTTTTATGAAACAAAATGTCAAATGAAATCTGGAACCAAACAGCTGACCATTTATATTCAAAATCTATATACAAATATGTATATAACGCGATGTAATATCATAATGTTATACCTGTATATGACATTATATAATACATATACAAAAATGCTATAATACCATGATGTTGTACCTGTATATTATGACATAATATCATGATGTTATACCTGTACATTATGTGACATAATATCATGATGTTATACCTGTACATTATATGACATAATATCATGATGTTATACCTGTACATTATATGACATAATATCATGATGTTATACCTGTACATTATATGACACAATAACATGATGTTATACCTGTACATTATATGACACAATAACATGATGTTAAATATATCTGTACTTATCCCTTATATATAACATGAATCAATAACATTTTACCTGTATTTATGTAATCCCATATTTTTAACTCTACCTGTATATGCTACAATGCCCTGTAAATGTTATACATTATTGGTATAACAGAACTTGTTTTCAGTTTGCCATTATGAAGATGAGAAATTGATTTCTGATACTACAAAATAACACATCATTAGTTTATCTAATGCTATAGGAACATTGTTATCAGATAACAAGCTATTATGGACAATGTTTTCTCTAAAGTCTGCACAATAACAGAAACAGAGTGAGTCATATGAAAGTAAACAGGTAGGGAGAAAGCCTCCCTTCTAAGTCTAATTTGCATTTAATTTTTTAACCAAACAAGAATATTTGGACTTTTCTCTGAGCCTGCGTTGAAATGAAGTGATCTTTGATATGTCACTTAAATACCAGCACCTGACTTAATGGGAAAGGGAACTGGACAACCAAGGAATGTCCTTGTCAGACTGGAGCCCACAGGCTGGTCGACACAGGGCACAACGATACCATAGCAGGTGGATCTATTCCTGTTCATAAAGATCCTCTGTCATACAGCTTTACCATAGATGGTAGATGGGAGGGCTTCCATGAACCCCAAGTCACATGGCTTTACCATAGATGGTAGATCAAGGCCTTCAATGAACCTACAAATGAAATTTAAGTAAGATCAATCCTGTACTTCTGAAGAAATAGCGATAACAAACTTCATTGAAAAATCCAAGATGGCTGCATTTCAGCCATTTTATTTTCTCGATCAGGCCCAAAATTCAACGTGCACAACTAGGGACCAAGGGGAACCAACATATGCAATTTGAGAAAGATCCATTTAGTACTTTTCAAGAAATAGCGATAACAAAAATTGTCTATGGACATATGGACAGAAGGATGACAGACGGATGGAAGGACGACAGATGGATGGATGGATGGATGGACGGACGATGGACCATGGACCAGCAAGGGATTTGAATAGCCCACCATCTGATGTGGTTGGCTAAAAAAAAGAAGGCATTTTTTTTATATATATTCATATGCAATTGAAAGGATATAGATGAACCTTAATCTGTGGTGGCTGATACAGTAAAACTGGCCAGGATTGATGGGTTGTCTTAACCTGGACAAATTAATATACCTGTATTAAGTGTTCAATGAGTATGTCAATCCCACTGATGCCTGATAAAGTGCTGTAAGATTGATGTAGAATGACAAATGAATCAGTTTGCTTACCTTGCCAGTATTTTTGTATAAGAAGTGACATATCCAGATCGGTTGGATGCTTTACATGTGCCAGAGGTATGGGTAAAATTCAAGGGCATAACTTGAGGTCATTGTATGCTCAGGACCTTGACGAATCTCCAGGGCAAAAGATGAAAAGGGCAAGGGCAAAAATCATGAACATCACATGTAGAGGACCATGGAAATACAAGGGCAACACACCTCAGTGACAATAAGAAACATCGCACAACAGAACAAACACCAGACCAACACACCTGGACAAACACCAGACCAACACACCTTGACAAACACCAGACCAACACACCTTGACAAACACCTGACCAACACACCTGGACAAACATCAGACCAACACACCTGGACAAACACCAGACCAACACACCTTGACAAACACCAGACCAACACACCTGGACAAACACCAGACCAACACACCTTGACAAACACCAGACCAACACACCTGGACAAACACCAGACCAACACACCTTGACAAACACCAGACCAACACACCTGGACAAACATCAGACCAACACACCTGGACAAACATCAGACCAACATACGTGGACAAACACCAGACCAACACACCTTGACAAACACCAGACCAACACACCAGGACAAACATCAGACCAACACACCTGGACAAACACCAGACCAACACACGTGGACAAACATCAGACCAACACACCTGGACAAACACCAGACCAACACACCTTGACAAACACCAGACCAACATACCAAGGCAAACACCAGACCAACATACCAAGGCAAACACCAGACCAACACACCTGGACAAACACCAGACCAACTTACCAAGGCAAACACCAGACCAACACACCTGGACAAACACCAGACCAACATACCTGGACAAACATAGACAAACATACCAAGACAAACATAGGACAAAAATTCTACAACAAACACCAAACCAAGATGGCAGGACAAACATGAGACAAACATACCTGGACAAACATGAGACAAACATACCAGAACAAACACCAAACCAATATACAAGACAAACATCAGACCAACACAGCAGGGAATCTGTCAAATTTCCAAGATGACTCAGACTGCTTATTAGTTGTTTAAAAGTAATACCCAATGTATAATGTATGTTTCTTCATTTCCACATACCAAAAGTCCACATGTATGTGATGATGTATCAGATGTAGCAGTATTTGTCTACAGATTACATCACTGCTGCAAAAGTCAGTGTCTGAATATTTTAACAGTTGTACAGTGCATATGTACTAGTGAATACCAGACAAAAATCAGAGCCTACCAGAAATACCTGGAGTAGTAGCCATTGATCCCCACAATACACAATATCACAATACAGCGTATACATTTATACACATCATTACAGGGTTCTCCAAACCACCAATCTCCCTCATTTACTGTCAACATCAGTTTGTAACAGGTCTATAGCTGGCAAGCCTTTACATGACAGAGCAGCAGAACTCCACTCAGCTCTTTTGATCTGTCATATGTGGGTACCAGATATTATAATCATAGACATGTTCAATTTGTGTATCTGCTTTTGAAGTATGGTGTCTACATTTTAGCCATATGGATTGTGTTTTTACATATCTGTTGGTTACCTTGACACCATGACCTTCCTATTAAATCAGACTGCTCAGCAGCAGTCATCCATTTCCTGGAATTGACATAACTTAGATTCCAAGTTGGAGTAAATTTGTACACTATGATCCATCATTAGCTCGGTGATCACACAAAATGACACCATACATAACAAAACAATAGTTACCTTTCTTTTCTTTCAAATTTATTTTCAATTTAATACATAATTTTCCACTTTCATAAGGAAATAATACAAATATTTCATCTATAGAGCTAATATTGTCCAACAAGATTGAAATACCAGCACAGCACAAACAGATGAACTTGTGAGGGACTGTCATCTCCGCCACACTACCAAATATACTGCCTTTAATGCAGCGTTGTGAGATCATTACCCCGAAATACAAACTCTTCCTTTATTACCTTTTTCTTGAAGTAACTATAAACATCACAAAGAAGTTTTACTAGATTTTATTTTGTCTAAAAATGTTTTGATAATTTCAAAATGGGTTTTTGTTTTAAGATAGAGGTGGTCATGAGGGGTAAATGATGATTAAACTGTCAGATTTTTTATTGATAAATAATTATGATGCCAGCATCCGAAACTACAATCTGGCTGAAACCTCATCCATGTTACACATCAATAACACTGGTTTTACTCAACAATAATACTCAACAAGTATAAAGCACAAAAGTCATACAAATATCACAAACAAAAAATTGTTTATATTAGAAAGAGATGTTGTTACATTATGATAAGAAACATGTCAACAATGAACTTATTATAAGGGGCTTTGGACATTTACGAGGATAAAGAATATTTTGTGAGATAAAAAGTGATGATATAGAAGTTGAAGTATGTCATTAGCTAGTATAATTGTGGTTTTGAAAGAGATTTATAAATTTAATGTATGTCATACAACTAAAAAACACTGTGGTATAAAAAGGACAATTTCTTGGAGGGCCTTTTGATATCACACATTACTAAAGTGTTGCAAAACACTGGAGAATTTTCATACGAGACAAAAATACGCATTTGTGTGAACATTATCAGAAAGTGGATTCTATCAGAGAAAAGTAGTCCTTGGTGGTGTACAGATACACATGTAATGTGAAATTGTACAAACTCAGCAGTTTAATTGCTCAGCACAAACCATCAACACCCCAGAGTGAAGATTTCATCAGCAAAATTAAATTTCAGCATTTTATGTTTAAAAATCAATTCTGTTCATACATGTTACTTTCACAATGCTTGTTGATATATTTCTGGTACAAAATAGAATTATGTCTCATCACAGTTTCTTTTGAAATAAATGCCCTAACTTTATCCAGGTACTTCCATCAGCAATGCTGTTTCATTACTGATTTCAGGACATAGCTGATACAGCTACTGCTTCCTTGCTGTACTGCTGAACTAAAGGTGTCACAATGGTCGTTTGTATATGGTTTGTGGGCAGGATCACACTCCTAGAAGGAAGGCGTGTTTTGCTGAATTGGTGGCATGGATAGCAGTGTCCACTTGAGCAGCTATGGGGTTGTTGAGGGTGGCATTAAATGTTCCTTGTAGAACTGTATCCTGGACCAAAGGTGAAAACTGAAACAAACGACAGGATACATATGTTAACATCAACTTATCAATATATCATCAAAAATGGTGAAAACTTGAGTCTTATGAGAAATCATCCAGTGATTATGTCTTGTATAACTTGTTCCAAGATGAACCATGTGAAATTGTCAACACTGGAACCTTACTCAGACAGTTGGTCATGGAAATATACACTGGCACAATAAGTTTGGTAGAACAGCTTGTACACATAAAAGTTCTCAATATCAACATTTACAACAACAACCATTCCACGTTTTCTAAGTTGTAAGCAATTCTACAGTAACAGCAATGTTAAAATGGTTCTCATCACTAGAAAAATAAAACATATTTGATCTCTAAGGTATATCTGATTCTTAATTTCTATGTTTCAAACTATCATACTTTAATTCTCCCGATGATATGACTTTGAAAGATAGATTCTATACTGTCATTATCCCAAACATCATAACAACCCACCAGTACAGAAGGTGATCAGAATGACTTGGTTGTGAAAATCAGCAGACATTCATCAGAATGATAAACTAAGACAAGATGTTGTAACTTACTCAGGTTAAACAATGAGCATATTTCCATAAAGACCATGACATTCCATTGAAAATCAATTGATAGTAACTTATGGTTCCTTTGATGAGCGGGTGTTGAGGTGAGGGGTGAGCCCAAGTACAGTGATTTATCAGGATATGTCCTGATTACTAAGATTAACTGGAGAGTTGACAAACAAACACAAATTTCACCATCTCATTCTTTTTCTTTCCTGGAGCAAAACTATAAATTTCTCTTGTTTTCTCCTGTTGAAACAGCTGGAGTATAAATTTTACTTTTGTTATAATTAATCAGCGAGGGAGTTTTGCATAGAGATTTTATGGAGTAGGGCACTAGTGAAACACAGATAGCCTATCTCCTACCCAGCTGGGTTCTCGTAAAAGTCCTATAAACACTGCACTGACACTATCCACCCCCATACCAGCCTTCTTTTATCACTCTCACAAGTGACCATAATTTCTCATTCTTTTGAGTAAATTTAATCTTCTTTGCTGGTCCCTGTAAAGGTCAAAGACAGAATAAGCCACTGTGATTTTGAGGCTGAAGACTAAATCCCAAAATGAAACTAAAACATTCAAGAATCACAGAGGTGATTCTATGTACAGATAGTGATTCTGTCCAAGCTATCTACGGAAAAGTTATGTCTTTTTTATCAGATTCTAAATCCCCAAACAGAATTTTATAGATGTTCTACCTTTTATTCAACTGATGACATACATTTGTGATTATGGTGTATAAGATCTATATAAGATCTGCTCTGAATCTCCTGAAAACACTGATGGTTAATTCTCATGAAACACATAGCATGATTTAATTGATTAATAACTGTAAATCAATGACACAGTGCTATTCTGATGCTCAGTAAACTTGAGATGTGAGTGTTCTGACATTTATTTGACAATTAACACATTCCTTCATTGTTGTTTGAATTACACAGAACTTACAGTTGAATTTTCTGTAAAGACTTCAATACATGCGAAAGGCTAACTTAACATCAGAAAGTGAGCATGACATCTGGACGTTAGTATAACTTTGATAGCTCGACTCCATGTTTACCACTATTTAAATGGCTGTTTATTACATCAAGTTTCAATGTATTTGTACTTGGTCAATTACAGGGTATGAGTGAGTTCTCCTTGAGCCACTGTCAACACCACACAAACACAGCTTCTACATTACAGTGTCGTGCTGAGAGACAAATCACTATTCTACATGTCACTTGTTTAAGTATTCCACACTAAGCTGTCCAACATTTTTCCATGATCCAGAACAATGCATTAGCTTTATCAGATAGGGCCAATGCTTTTGGTGTTCAGTGGACCCAAGCTTATAAACATTGTCTTTGTAGGGCCATCAGCTGAAAAAGGCAGTTTATCACAAAATGCATGATGTCAAGACATCCCTTTGTCAGCCTCTTCCTCAATAACCCTTGAGCCTTTAAATTTCAATGACATTTTGAAAGCTTTGACAAAAATAGGGAAGCATATCAATCAATCACTAACCTTTTCTATATCTACAGTGGAGCCAATCCACTACACACCTATTCTATATCTACAGTGGAGCCAATCCACTATACACCTATTCTATATCTACAGTGGAGTCAATCCATCACACACCTATTCTATATCTACAGTGGAGTCAATCCACTACACACCTATTCTATATCTACAGTGGAGTCAATCCATCACACACCTATTCTATATCTACAGTGGAGTCAATCCATCACACACCTATTCTATATCTACAGTGGAGTCAATCCATCACACACCTATTCTATATCTACAGTGGAGTCAATCCATCACACACCTATTCTATATCTACAGTGGAGTCAATCCACTACACACCTATTCTATATCTACAGTGGAGTCAATCCATCACACACCTATTCTATATCTACAGTGGAGTCAATCCACTACACACCTATTCTATATCTACAGTGGAGCCAATCCACTATACACCTATTCTATGTCTACAGTGGAGCCAATCCACTATACAACTATTCTATATCTACAGTGGAGTCAATCCATCACACACCTATTCTATATCTACAGTGGAGTCAATCCACTACACACCTATTCTATATCTACAGTGGAGCCAACACACCTATTCCACTATACACCCTCCACCACACATTATATATCTACAGTGGAGTCAATCCACTACACACACTACTCCACCACACACCTGTTATATATCTACAGTGGAGTACAATTCTATATCTACATCAATCCACCACACACACCTATTCATATATCTACAGTGGAGTCAATCCACTACACATCTACAGTGGAGTCAATCCACTACACACCTATTCTATATCTACAGTGGAGTCAATCCACTACATACCTATTCTATATCTACAGTGGAGTCAATCCACCACACACCTGTTATATATCTACAGTGGAGTCAATCCACTACATACCTATTCTATATCTACAGTGGAGTCAATCCACTACATACCTATTCTATATCTACAGTGGAGTCAATCCACTACATATCTATTCTATATCTACAGTTGAGTCAATCCACTACACACCTATTCTACATCTACAGTGGAGTCAATCCACCACACACCTGTTATATATCTACAGTGGAGTCAATCCACTACATACCTATTCTATATCTACAGTGGAGTCAATCCACCACACACCTGTTATATATCTACAGTGGAGTCAATCCACAATCCACTACATACCTATTATTCTATATCTACAGTGGATTCATATATCCACCACACAATCCACCACACACCTGTTATGTTATATATCTACAGTGGAGTCAATCCACTACATACCTATTCTATATCTACAGTGGAGTCAATCCACCACACACCTGTTATATATCTACAGTGGAGTCAATCCACCACACACCTGTTATATATCTACAGTGGAGTCAATCCACTACACACCTATTCTATATCTACAGTGGAGTCAATCCACCACACACCTATTCTACGTCTTCTCTGGCCATTTTTTAGTGGGAAGATACTACTACCCTTGATTAGAAATGGTTGACTGTGGTATAGAGTACCAGTGCTAGAATTGTCCCACTTCCCATCATGTAGACCATATAACTCATTTATCTAAGACCACATATGCCAACATCAATTATAAGTAATAAGACCAAAAACAAATTTGTTTTCTCAACTCTTGTGTCCTGGACTAGCCCAATGAGAACACTCCAACATGGCGGTCACCAGGGACCTTAAGTATAGAGGATAGGGAAATTATATAAGGATTCAACGAAGAGGAAGAATTGTAGGTACTGTGCCTCCTATATCTAGAGCTGATCTAATGTGTCCAGACAAGTACAAAAACAACCAAGAACTTCAAAGCTGATAAATTTTCCTGATAAAGTTGCTGGTTTTTATCAGACTTTTGTACAGAACATGGATCAATTAAAGTCTCATTAGGGGTATATTTATTGGAATAACCAGGGTGGATACCATTCAGAGCTTCAGGCTTTATCTGTCAGACTGATAAGATGACCAATAGACTCATACTCAGAAGTGTATATTTTACTGTCAAATTCCATGTTCCCTACAGGGTTCACACTGGGGTCAACGCTTAATGTTAACAGTAAGTGAAGCCAACTCCCAAAATGCATTTTTGTTGTTTCAAGTGCATAAACATTTGTTACTTTTGATAAATGTGAATTTGTCTCATTTATCTGAGATATCACTTGAATCTGAACTCTTAAAAAGTTTGGGTCAATCTTTTTCCTGTGTCTGCTGGTTAGGAAATGCCATTTAAGCTTTGTTCTCTTGGTGAACTCTATAGTGCCTATCATTCAAGTTTAACCTTTCCAATGACAAAGTCAATATTTTACTCAAGTAGTAATATCACGGTATCAAATACTCATACAGAAATCCATAAATACGCTAAAATGAATCCATGCTTAGAATACAAATAGCATTACCCCCTCCCCACCCCCCACTTCTTTTTGCAGAAATTGATAAATTCAAAACAATTACTGAAGTACATATTGATTTATCAAAATAATTTTCCTTTCTTTGAACGTGAATTTTTGGCAATTTCTCTTAATCTTTGTTAGGAGGATTAAAAAAGTAAATTAAAACTGAAGTCTTGAAATTAATCAGAAATCCTGTGTTAAGTGAGTCACAAATTTCATCATTAATTTACATTCCTATCCCCTTTACCTCCCTTACACAATGTTTCACTGCTGGTTTAAGAGAGAATTAGGACCTCACTTCTGTAATAAGTAGCAGTATGACATATAACAAGAGTATTATGATTTAGAATGATATACATCTTTCCTGTACCAAAACACATATTCAGGATTTGTTATATGAAATACAAATATGGAAATAGCAAGAGAGAAAACAGTGCTGTATTTTTACTGATAAATTAAAGCAATACCATGTTTTCAAGAGATTGGTGGAAAACTGCAAAAAATCTTCGCACAAGATTAAATTACCTAAAACG